GGAAGAGCATGAAATATATGCCATAGTACAAGTTAATTGACCAAGGAACACACCCACATCCTAGTTACAAAACATTTGTCAAATTTGGTTCCTATTGTAGGATTGTCAAATATGCCACCTCCTTTCAATCAAATACTCCTCTTACATATGCTATGCAAACAAGAAGAAACCATCTATTACATTTCTCAGCCAACTGGATCTAAATCAACCTCCGTGTCCATTCCACCGTCAATCATCCCAGCCTCGACTTCAGCATCTGCTTCCATCTGGCCTGCCTCTTGACCTACATCCGTATCAGAGATTTGCTTCTGATGTTCATCGGGGATTGGACTACCACCTTGGGACATGTCACCAGTTGCAACAGTGGCATCAGTGTCCGTTGGTGTCACTGAGGCTTCAAGCACAGCTCTGATTCCTTCACCATCTATCTCATTTGCAGCTGTTGCAATCTTCAGTAAAATTAAAAACAAAATATTATTGTGAAAATTCTTGGAGAACACTTCCACTCTGGATACGCATGCATGAATTTACCGGATCCTCAAATTTGAAAACACCTCTCCAAAGGAAAAAAGGAACACAAAATATACATATTTATTTCACACACATACATATTATTTTGTCATTTACATGTTCAACTTTCACAGGAATCAAAGATCTCAAGAAACATAAAATCTAGAAATCCACTACAATTCCAATTATACCTGATTTTCTTCTACTTGATGTGCAGCACGCTTTGTTTTTTCCTTTTTAGCACGTTTAGACTTGTCATTTGGTTTAGCTTGGTATTTAGATCGCTCTTCAGGTGTCAAAAGTTCCAGAGGCACTACTCCTTCAATACCAAATTCAGTAAACTGCAATTACATCAATACAATTCGTGTAAGCTCGGTGAAAAAAATTAATCATATATATTTTAAAATATTTGCATAGTCAGTTGTCATATTAATCATACTCTAGAAAACCCTTCCAAGTCTTGTCTAGCTGAAAATAGAAGACCTTTCCAGCAATAAACCTGCATAATGAAAATTTAGTATAGGATAAAATAAAATCTACTTGTAAGTTGAATGCTAGTTTCAACAATTCTAATAACTTCAAATAATAAAGAAAAACAAAGTAACACACATTTAATCACATGGTGAAGCTGTTGAAAAATCCAAACTACTAAATAAAATAGCACTCCATATTAACAATGAACAGTAGTCAAAAGTCCACAACTTTTATCTAAATCCTTTTCAAACGATTTACATATTTATCTTCTGATTCCGGAGGCCGGTTAGTTTTTCAAGATACCTTTTTGCTCATGTCAGTCTTTCTTATTTTTGGGACCTTTCCTATTGAGACGGGCAATAGTATACTAAACTCGCACACACTACACGGATGCTAGGACTCAACCCCAGAACCTTTCCTCAGAGCAATTGGTTCCTTTGCACTCATGTCAGTCTTAGAATAGCAATGAACCTTTACAGAAGACAGTTGATGAATTTTAAAAATACTCTTACCAATGTTTGATAAAGATCTACTATTTTTCTTTCTTTTTAAATATATATATATATAATAAATTCAAGATTACATAGGGAGATGGAGGAACAACTTACATGATGTGTAAGGTACTCTTCTGGTTTCAACACCATTGATGCACCAGCAAAGTTTAGATTAACTGCAGGAAAAACCTCAGCCAAACTGAAACATAAAATGTCATTTAGGTCTTCATAGTTTTTCTTCAGAGGGAAACTTAAAAAATATTTAGAGATAGAACCAACCTAGTGGTTACTTGATGACACTGGTTTTCTTCTGAAATGAAGGGAGTCAGGGATGGTGAAACAGCTGAAGTTATCTATACATCCCAACACAAAATGAGCTTTTAGTAAGGAGAAGATATCTTATGTTTCAGACCAAACACCACAAATCAACCAATAAATAAGACCAAGTGAATAAACTTACCGCACGAACAAAAGGAACGTAAGCTTCTTCAACAAGGTATGCCAATGTTGTTCCTGAGTCGATAATAGTTCCTCTGTCGTGTGATGTGAAGGCTGCTGGATCAATTGGCAAGATTTGATAGTATACTAAACTCGCACACACTACACGGATGCTAGGACTCGAACCCAGAACCTTTCCTCAGAGCAATTGGTTCCTTTGCACTCATGTCAGTCTTAGAATAGCAATGAACCTTTACAGAAGACAGTTGATGAATTTTAAAAATACTCTTACCAATGTTTGATAAAGATCTACTATTTTTCTTTCTTTTTAAATATATATATATATAATAAATTCAAGATTACATAGGGAGATGGAGGAACAACTTACATGATGTGTAAGGTACTCTTCTGGTTTCAACACCATTGATGCACCAGCAAAGTTTAGATTAACTGCAGGAAAAACCTCAGCCAAACTGAAACATAAAATGTCATTTAGGTCTTCATAGTTTTTCTTCAGAGGGAAACTTAAAAAATATTTAGAGATAGAACCAACCTAGTGGTTACTTGATGACACTGGTTTTCTTCTGAAATGAAGGGAGTCAGGGATGGTGAAACAGCTGAAGTTATCTATACATCCCAACACAAAATGAGCTTTTAGTAAGGAGAAGATATCTTATGTTTCAGACCAAACACCACAAATCAACCAATAAATAAGACCAAGTGAATAAACTTACCGCACGAACAAAAGGAACGTAAGCTTCTTCAACAAGGTATGCCAATGTTGTTCCTGAGTCGATAATAGTTCCTCTGTCGTGTGATGTGAAGGCTGCTGGATCAATTGGCAAGATTTTCCCATTGACAGCAATGCTCTGCAGATTTAAATAATAATGGTGCCTGAAAATAATGGTGAAGGACGTTATATGAAAAACTCAAAGACAAATAAGTAATATAAGATAGCTAAACAAGTAAAAGTTTAGAAAGCCAAAAGTGACAGCATCTCACCAACCCTTGGTGAATAAATTGATTTCATATAATAAATTGTAGCAACACACACTAGAAGAATTTTGGGCAATAATCACTATTTTTTTAACCAGTTATCATAAGTTACTATTGTCATTTAACTTAGGCAAATTTTACTCTTTATTGGTAAGTTGAGAGTTGAGACTATTAATGAGTTTGTTTTCCAGTAACCATTAGACAAAAATAGAATAGGTTAGAAATGTGGTTGTCTTGGTTATGCAAACCAACGGAAATTAGTGGCTATAAACCCTTGTCTTTATTTCCTTCTCCCATTCCCTAGTCTAAACCCTAGTCTTTATTTCCTTCCCCCATTTCCTTTCCCACCAAAATTCACAATTTGGTAGTAAATATTACAAGCATAAAGAAATAAGAGAAAGGTTTCCAAGAGACGTACCGTGGTGGAACAAGAGGACTGTAAACAATACTTGGCTCCAGAATCTCGCCAAGAACAAGTATACCCCCTCCTTTTTCATCTCCCTTCAAACAATGAGAGAACACTTTGGGAGTCAACCCTCGAGATGACAACTGCGATATAACGGACAGAGGCCCTTGGCTAAATCCAAATATCCCATCCAGTGTTGAAAGTGAACTAGAAATACCCCCAGACTCATAGGTAGTGCACCTGTATTTTTCCAACACCATCAGCCAAGGAAATTTCATAATTAATTCAATCAACACAACACAACATACTTATAATAAGAGAAATTATTCTACATAATATTAATTATTTTTGTTCTAAACGATGGGATTGAGAAATTGTATATGGGAATTAGATTTCATTGATGTGATCAACGAAGATACAGAGATGTCCTCATATAGGCCTGATACAACAATACAGATCTTACGGATTAGCTATTTACCATACATGGTTCCCATGTTAGACAATTTATGTCTTAAACCACTTTAATGTGGTCTTCTAATCATCATAGGAGATCTAGGTCTTTGTATTGATTAAGAACTTAATTAGAATTGGTGTTTTGGATCTCAGGGAAGTTGAGATTACCTTCTGTCCACAGATGTTGGTGATCTTGTTTATAGAAGTTTATTGTGGCGTGGTGCAAGACATGAGGTACATGAGTTAGTAGAGTTTTCTTTTTGTCCACAGATGTAAGAAAACTATCTATGAAAGAAATTCATGTATCGTGTCTTTTGGTGATCACTAAAACATGTTCAATTTTCTGCCTACAGGTGATAATTGATAATGTACAGAAATTGGGGAAAGTTTGTTTATATACTTGTCTGCTCTTTCAAATCTCAGTTATGAACACCACAAATTTAAACACCATCGAAACACTGACTGGTTCCAACTACAAGAGATGGAAAAGGGATCTTGAAATAGCTCTAGGTCTTTTGGATGTGGATATGGCAATTAAAGAACAAGCTCCTGAAAAACCAGAGGGATATGCAACCATTGAGGAAAAGACTCATTATGCCAAATGGGAAAGGGCAAACAGGATATCTATTCTGATCATCCAAAAATAAATGTCACCTACAATAAGAGATGAAATTCCACCCTTGAAAAATGCTAAAGATTTCCTTAAGACCATCAGCCTAAAATTCAAGGAATCTGAGAAGGTAGAGATGGGATTTCGGATCAAGAAACTAACAGATATGAGATATGAGATGGCTGTGTAAGAACATATATTCTGGACATGATGGGTATTGGCATGAAACTAAGAAACCTTGGTGCCTATATTGATGACAGCATGCTGATATATTAGCACTTAATTCACTGCCAAATGACTTCAAGCAGGTTAAGAGCACCTATGTGACACAAAAGGAATCATGGACACTGGATGAGTTGATTCAAGTTTCAGTGCAGGAAGAAATTTCAGTTTGCTTTGAATCGAACCTAGTTGATATATAGTGACTCTTGGTGGCTTGACAATGGAGCAACTATACATGTTTCTAATTCCTTGCAAGGATTCACAACCAAGAGGGTGCCAACTAAGGATGAAATAAAAGTGTATGTCGGCAATGGAATTCAAGTGAAGGTGGAGTTCATTGGAGACATCAAGATTAGATTAGAGTCTGGTTTTATTTTGCATTTGATAGATGTGGTTTATGTTCCTGCTATGACAAGGAACTGATTATGGAAGCTAAACTGATTTTGGATTCTCTATTTTAAGAAATAAAATTTCAATTGGGAATGGAACCCTTGTGAAAGGAATGTATCAATTAAATGTCCAAGCATATGATCAAATTAAACATTGCAAGCACCAGCAAAATTCAAAATAAAACTCAATCATCTCAATTGTGGCATAAGAGACTTTGCCACATTTCCAAAGAAAGAATAAAATCCCTCTGCAAAGAACATGTGTTGCCACCACTCGACTTAACTGAATTGGATGAGGTCTGCATAAATTGTGTAAAGGGGAAGCTCACAAGTACAAGAAAGAAAGGAGCAATTAAAAGTACAAGTTTACTAGAACTTATTCACACTGACATTTGTGGACCTTTCCCAACACCGACTCATGATGGATTTAAGTATTTTATTACCTTCACAGATGACCTTTCAAGATTTGGTTATGTATATTTGATAACAGAGAAATCAAGTGCACTAGATATGTTTAAAGTGTTTAAAGCAGAAGTAGAAAATCAACTCAACCTTAAAATTAAAGTAGTAAGATCAAACAGAGGTGGAGAATTCTATGGAAAATTGGATGAGGCAGGCAGAAATCCAGGACCCTTTGCAAAGTTTCTGCAGCAAGAAGGAATTGTTGCACAATACACAAATCCTGGAACTCCACAGCAGAATGGAGTTTCAGAGAGAAGAAATCGAACCCTCAAGAATATGATGAGAAGTATGATGGCTTGCACAAATCTTCCGATTTTTCTATGAGGAGAAGTTTTAAAAACAGCAAACTATGTTTTAAACAGAGTTCCAACCAAGAGTGTGAATCAAATTCCTTATGAAATTTGGAACAACAGGAAGCCAAAATTAAATCATCTCAGAATTTGAGGCTGTAAAGCAGAAGTAAACTGTATAATCCTATGGAAAAGAAACTAGATTCAAAGACCACTAGTTGTTTTTTCATTGGATATCCAGAGAGAACTAAAGGCTACAGGTTTTACTGTCCAA